GCAGGGTCTGCTTCTTTCAATACTAATGGCACTGAAGTATACGCAGGCCCTACTTGGAAAACATCTGAAGTGAAGTTATAAAGAAAACTCACCTGGGAAAAGCCCAAAAGGGCGTTTAAATCCTCAAAGATGGGTGTGGTTGGAAATTTCTTCGGACCGCCCACTTGCCAGCCGTGATTGGCTACGGAGGCATTCGTGCTCGTTTCGGGACCACAGGGGTATTTGAACTCTGTCCTTTAAAGTAATCAATCTGATCCTGCCGGTTGCAGTGGAATTGCTTCTTTTTTTGTTGTTCTAATGTTGTTATGTTATGTGGTGTTATGTAATGTTGTAATCTGTTGTAATGGCTACCAAGTCAGTCAGTTATTAGCGGAATCAAGGCTTCCCCAGCTAAATGGAAGGGTCGAATTGCAGTAGTTTGAGGGGTGATCGAACTGTTAGTGAATGAGCTAGAGATTGCACTCCAATTGCAAGAGTTGGCAAATAGCCAACTATTATGGCTATTTGCCAGCAATTGCAATTGGAGCGCAGGTTCGGACAACTCGTCCAGCACGCGTCTTCTCTCATCGCTAAGGGCAGAGGGTGAGTTCCTGTTCAAAGCCTTATTCCGCGTTTTTCTTTGGTTTTTTCATTACTGTCGGTCAAATTGTGGGCTATAACTACATTATCAACGGTTTTTACCTCGTAAATTCGTCCTGGAACGTTGCTTTAAAGCAACAATCCCAGCAGGGTTTTGTCCTTCGACACTAATGGTGTGGAACGATGCGCTAGCCTAGTCAAGAACATAAGAAGTGTGACTGAACAAAAAACTCACCTTGGAAAGCCGCTAGAAAGGGAGCTGAACAGCTTCGAAGTGGGCGTGGTTGTGCAGTCCCCTCGGCCGATTCAACCACGCCCACTTCGAAGCCGTTCAGCTCCCTTTCTAGCGGCTTTCCAAGGTGAGTTTTTTGTTCAGTCACACTTCTTATGTTCTTGACTAGGGCTAGCGCATCGTTCCACACCATTAGTGTCGAAGGTAAAAACCCTGTGGGGATTGCTTTAACTGGCAGGAGGAGCTGCAAGCACAATTACCGACCTATGCGCAACTATTACACAGGTCAACCACCAGATATCAGTGGATAGGGCAGTGACCAGAATATCTCTCATGCTGTCGTACGCGACGCCGCACTGACCCGTAAAAGGTCCTCCGCTTAATCGCCATCTAGTACGCGATCACAGATGCACTTTCATAATCGACGTCATTCATAGCCATGTCCACCTCTTCTCAAACATTTGCTTATATTAGTTCCATTTTGTAGGTGGTGAAAACCTACTAATTCTGTAATCCATATCATCAAGTTCAAAGGATGCAGAAAACTTAGCAAAATAATTACTTTCTCAATCGCAAGTAATCACGCAAGATCCAGAACTCATTCAGCTCTCCTGGCTTTCGACATGGATTACATGGCTGCTTTTAACACGCACATTTTAGGAACCCCATTATGTGTTTCAGAGTTGCACTAGGTTTAGGAGCGAGTGCGCACGTAGACATAACAATGAGTCTAGATGTTGCAGAACTCTTATTCTCAAGACTAAATGGCTTGCTGTATCCTAATGGACATTCACTGTAGTATGGAATCCATATAACTGTTTCATTTGCTGACTTGAGAAGGACTGCATTTTTTGACCACTTCCGAAAACACTGCAGACCACCTTCTTGGCTTGGATAGAATACCAAAGTTGGGGTCTTATCCCCATCGCGTGCTCCATACGCCTAAGATGATGGTCCATGTGTTGCTTAGCGACGTCGTTCTCAAAACAGTTACAAATTATAACATTTTGACGATGCTTTGTCAGGTGGCTTCAATCTCGCTCGAGCTCTGTCGTTCACTGCATGATAGGCACCGAGTGGACGTTTCTGAGGTTCGTCATTCAATTTCTTTACAAGTCTGGGCCTTTTTGTCGGTGCAGCTGGTGGGGGGGGGGGGTAACAATCAGCCCTCACAATTTCACTTTCGTACACTTTTTACATACTTGGTTTTTTGCACAAGCAAACCAGTTCACCCACCAGGACTTGGGTTGGGTTGTGGGTTATTAGGACAGAAAAGCGACCCACACGCTAGCGCCTCTCTCTACAAGAAGAAGGATCATTTATGCCGGGAACGATTACCCTGCTATGCCCTTCCCCCAATTACGCTAGCGTGTTCTCATTCCTAAACTGTTGAAATCGAGGCGAACTCTGTCTGCGGCAAAATCTTGCATCTTCGCTGCATATAGCGCTCTAGCTAGATTCACAATTGAGAACTAGTCCAGAAAAAGGCCTTATCCACTTTCTCTAGTGCGAAATTTTTTGCGCGATTCCCAGGTGCACCATAATCTGAGAGTAGACTGTGGTTCCTGTGGTGAAAAGGGTTCCGCGCTGCAAAAAGCTGAAAACTTTCTGTTCTACGAAACGCACCCTGATCGCTCGCATGCATGCTTGAGGGCAAAATTGCCAAATAAGGTATTTGGGATTGAACTGAGTATAGAGATGCCGAAGTGGACCGACGTTTAGAAAAAAGCTGAGAAAACGCGTCGACAAGCTCTTTGATAAAAATCTTTCCCATACAGTGAAGAAGTGTTGGAAAGAGTAGACGAACAAGTTTCTGGATATGTCAGTCGTTTTCTTGTGAAAGCAATGACCTAGTTGATTTCAACGTTCGCCAGCCACCACCGTCCGGAGGTGGGCGGTCCTGGATTGACCAGGCGGCCCTGGATTGAAACCGAACGCCCCGGGGCCTTAACGGGGTTTTTCAAGGTGGGAAGTTGCTGCAATGTGTGCAGCTACCCACATACAACCTCCAGGCACGGGAATTACTTCTCTAGGCGTGCCTGAGCCCGACCTTTGCCTTTAATCACGTTAAGTGACAGCGCGGGGCACATACGTCCCGCACTTTGCAGGCCATAGACGACAGCATGGACGTATGTGTCCTGCAACATGCGTTCTATCAGCGCAAATGTCTGGATCCTTTTCTAGTTGTGGTTTAATCATGAAGAACCTAGTCGCTACAAACATAGCAAGCTGTAATTCTCGTATATTGTAATTTGAAGAAGAAGATTTTCGAACCGCACGAAATTTTAGGTCTGATCAATTTTTCGTTCCCATTTTCCTCTCATGAATGTAAAGGTTTGAAAGACTATTAGAAGTGAATAAGTGTCCTAAGAGATGATAACATATGTGTTTTTGTTAAAATGATTAAAGTGAAATAGCTTCTTCAGGTTCAATGTAGCTAATTATGACAATTTTTGCATTTTCATTCTTATTTCAAGTCTTTCGACCCCTTGCAACTTTTGTCTCATTTCGAATCATGTTCCTTGCACCACCATCTTTTTGTCTTTGACACTTTGAATCCGCTGAATTACTTGAGGCGTCCGCGCTCGCAAAATCGGCCCGGTCACACGAAGCCAAAACGCGCGTTGTCGTCAATATTAATCGATAGAGGAAGGGTCGGCAAAAAACAAATAGAAAAATGGGAACTGTTACTACCATTTTGATGATAGGTTCGGCTACTACAGATGGGGCGGAATAAGGTAAGCAAAGTGATGAAGTAAGTAACTTCGTAGGGCGCCCAATTTTTGTAGTGTACCCTTGAAAAAACTGTTTTTTCAGGATTCAAAACCTCCCCTTTTACTCTCTGAAGAACCTACTCTGAATCAGTCTGATCTAGCTCAGTGTGAGCAGGAAATTAATAGTCCGGCGCCGCAATCTGGGAAAACCGTTATGGTCTGTTGGTTTACCGTTTTCCTTTCGAGAACTCACTCAAACTTACTTCAGTCCATGCTGAAACATAGAAGCGAAGTGAGCAAAATTTGAGCGAGTTGTCGGAAGAGCAATTTAATGCATTAGTGCTCATCGCTGAGCGAAGGCAAAGAGCTGTGGATTCTACCGAATCGTCTGGCTTATCACAGCGAGAGCAATACGGTTAGCTCTGAATTCGTGAAACATTTCTTGTATTTCCTCAACTTGTTGTAGACTTATTTTTTGTAAGCATGTTACCGTATGAAGAGGGCTCCCCCACTTTCTTTCAAGATTTTGGGGCGCGGCCGGCGAACGCAACAGTCGGCGGTCCCGGCACTGTGTGTGATCGTTTTAGATTTTACCCGCACAGTTCGCGGGCACTATCTACTGGAGTAAGCAAACCAGCCCGTTTGGCGCTTCTGCTGGGGCCGTATGCTTAATGTTGGGAAGGGGATGGGGTCCCCAACGGTCGAGTACCACTTCAACTCGGTCTTCAAAACGCTCAAATTGATGCTTCCCCGACTAAGCTTCAGAGAGGAGTTCGCCGTCGTCCTTTTTCGCAAGGCTTAGTCTTGAGTGATAATCCATCTTATGCGGAGCATGCTGGACTTAGGTGCACACTTTGTCATCACATCCTACGTACGACCAGTTTCATAGTCGTCCAACTCGGGACCCCATCTCTCCTCCACCATTCAGCATCCCAGCAGAATCTCCACAGGCTGTTTGCTCACCTCTCATCTAACTCACGGCTCACTGGGTTTTACGACTACTTGATTTTTCCTCAATGGTCTGCCGCGATGCTAGGGCACAGACGATTGGAGAACGGGTGAATGCCCTAGGACTAAGCCTTGAGAGGAGAGGGACCTGCGAGAGAGCGCAGAGGCTTTTGAAGGACTGAGTTCAAGGCCCGTATGCTATGCTTCCCCGAAGCTAAGTGATCCAAAGTTTCCTTTAAATTTACTTTGTTTTGAACGATATAGTTTCTTCATTTTCAATGCATGTTTACTTTTACATACATACATTTAATGTAGGTCCTTTATCAGGGCAATCCCAGATGGGAAGACAGAGAAGTAGGGACTTCTCAGCCCAAACCCTGGGGAGATAGCATGCGCCCTTAATGGTCGTGCGCCTCTCGCGCGGGCCACGCTTCAAATGTGAAGAGTGGGAGTCTATGAAGAGAACAACAGTGTGATATGTAAGTTCTGCAACATTAATATATGAAAACAGCACTTCAGATGATCAGATGGCCGGTTCTTCGTCAGCTGGCGACTCTATCACAATGGTGATCACTGCTGATGGTAGTCTCAAGCTTACAGACGCAACAGGCGAAACGTTCTCGGTGAGATGTTGTTTTTTGCTAACGTAATGCGTGTAGTAGCGGGGAACCAAACAAGCGGTAATCTACGTATTGGATTGATGAAGACGCTGAGGTTGAAACCCAAACTAAATAGGCTTCTGTACCACCATGGTTGAGGTTCTAAAAACGTCTTCAACAAATTTATTACAAGCAAAATCAAGATTCCCCAAGAACCGTACATCGGTGGATCTGAGTGTGCTTTTATTTTGACAGTTCTTTTTGACTCGAGCCTTGTCGTTGGGCTTGGATATCAGAGAGATGTTGAAAGGTTTTACAGTTCTTTCCCACATCAATGAGTTTTGCTTCGATGCTACTGCATTTTTTCCACATCAGTCATTTTCAGTTTGACCGCGATCAATTGGCTGCTTTACGCATTGATGTGAACAACCTAACTGATGACAGTATTCAGCAAATTGTTCAGCTGGCCATGCCAGCAATTAATGTGTGAGTTTGACTAATATTTTGTTCTTCATGATTGAGTCTGGAATTTCCAAAAACTAGACAAAACTGATCCTATCACGTGGTTGTTTTACGTTTCGAATCGAATGTATGCTCCGTGTTCAATCTGAGTTGAATGTGATTTCTGGGTTCAGTTTGGATTGAACATGGGCCATTCTTCAAATTTCAAGAAGAGTACTTTACTGCTGGTTTAAAACTGCCTCATTTCTGTCTCGAAGTTATACCAAACGGCGCCAATGAAATGAATAGTCGTTATCGTTTTTTATTTTGCCCATTCAGAGGCAATAAGAATATGGAGCTCTCGAAAGCTGAGATGGATCGCTCCAGAAGGTCTCATTCTATGGTTGGTATCTTGCTAATATTATGGAATCGGCATAAAAATACTCCAACGTGACAATTTGTACCTTCTCAACGCTTCGTTCTTCCTTATTTCTCAACACTCTAATTTCGAAAGGCTCTCATCGTACCAAGGGCTCCTTTTTGTTCGGGACTGCTCTTAACCGTATTTTGAATCTGAAGTTTGAACCGCTGTTTTAGGTCAATGGAGAATCGCAGAATACATCGTTCAAAAGCAGTCAGTTATTAGTTAGCTCATTTTTTTTCGCAAATCTGTTACTGCTTAAGCGAATTTCAAAGCATGCTTATTTAGATGTTGTGAGCGATTCACCAAATGTCAACCAGCACCTGCAAATTCGGTCTTCCAATCAAGGGAGTCCACGAAATGCATTTGTTCGTTATGTGAAGAACGGAAAATGCAAGGTGATCTTCATTTATTATATTATTTCATATATCTTGCAAATCTTGAGAAAAAGCCAGGTTATTGAAGAATAGAGAAAATAAGAGTAGTATGGTAACCTCAATGTGCTGGTGATGATCTTCTTGATCAAGGGTCAGTCTCTCTTATTGTGTAAATCGCCAGCCAATTTGCCGATTTGTCCATGTGTCCGTCGGTTTGTCTGTGTACCCGTAGCATAGTGCTCTCTAGATTGGTGGCCGTGACCTATGGTATCCATATACAGAAAAGGTGATCATTGTGTTCGCATCCTGTTTTCTGTCGAATTAGTACGCCAGCAGTCGGTTGTTATGATGTTTGCTAGGTTATGCTGCGGAGTACAATAGCTACTCTAAAAAACGTTTGAAGTACAGTCCATATCTCGAAATCTGATTGGGCGTGTCACCGGAAATGACGTGGCAGCCACCGCACTTGATAGATGTTGTGTGGATAAAATACTCCGCCAGATATCAGCAAAGCGTGTTGGAAGCAGCTTATCCGCGCAACTTCTATCAAGTGCGGTGGCTGCCACGTCATTTCCGGTGACACGCCCAATCAGACTTCGAGATATGGACTGTATCTACGGGTTTTATGGTGAAGTTTTGTTCGCGGACCAACATGTGTGAAGGCTGGGATTTGCAGGTGCAATATGACGACGGTCGTTTTGAGTGGATCGGCGAGGACGCTGGAGATCCTTGCGAAGTACGACCTGTGCAGCATTCGGATCACTCTGGGTACTTATTTTCGATGTGTTTATGTTTCAATTTTGATGACTTCCTGATGGTTTGTAATTGCAATATTTGCTCAATTATGCAATTGCAGATACCATGCTGGTGCATTGCCTCGGGAAAGTGAAGCTTCTACCGTAATTGTGGACTCGCCACATTTGAAGCGACCGTGTTCTGCAGATGCAGCGTTCAGCGGGCCCATACCACCAAAAACGACGAGGTCTTGACCAAACTCCGAACTTTTGCTGCCCTGTGTGCGACAGAAAGGTGGGTTTCCTATGGATTTTGAAACTTGTAACGGTTCTAAGTGAAGGACAATCGAAGATATTAAACAGTGACGGGAGTTGGTCATTTTGACAGCATAAGCTCTGTTTTATTTCATGGAAGCGCAGCCTTAACGCATTTCCCAAGGATCAAAACATTGATCATCAGAACTAGTGGGAGGTTCTTATGTAAATATGTCATTCACATTCCTCTACCACGGAAAGGGAAGCGTCATGTTTGCAACCGGCAGTTCCGTACGAAACTCACCTCTCACTGTGAAATAGGCTACGAAGCCGGCGAATGCACCTGGGAGCACTTTGGGCAATTTTTTCTGGTTTTGGTGAAAAAAAGTTTGGCTGCATCATGATTACTAGTGTAAAAAAGCGCTGTCGTGAACGGGTTTGTGAAATAGCAAACTTGGCTTGATTCCGGTTGTACGCCATTGAGGAATATTGCCCAGTAACCGAACGCCCTCCTCTCCCGGAAATGTATGCCCTTCCCCTCACCTGGTGCTGCGTTGGAAATTTCACAAGGCATTTCTTCTCTGATTTATTGAAACTAGCCGAACATTTCCTGAGTCAAGTTAGTGCCTAACACAATTGCATGCTGCGCGCAGAATAACTGGCGTTTGTGCGCCACACTTGTGGATTAACTGTACAATCTACCAAATCATTTCATGGCCGTTTTAACGGTAAATGACTGGCTCAAAATATGGTCATAGTAATGGTTTCGGCCTGGTAGCTAACTCTCTTGCAAATTGTCTCTTGGGCGGCAAAATGGGGTGAATGGATTCATTTCAGGTCTACCAAAAAGAACCGTCATACATCGTTATTCGGCTTCCAGCTTGTGATGACTGCACAAAAGAGCGAATGATTGTGCTTGATGAACGCGCACGAAGAACAAGCCTCAGTCCACATAAATAACGTTTTTGTAGTATTTTGGCAGTGTAACATACGCATTAACTCAAGGTGTAAACCTTGAAATTTGAACGCTTGCAGTTTTGAATATCGATCTTGATTTAAGCTCGACATCGACAAAAGCGAAGTAGGTTAACTTACGTTCAGTGCTTTGAGGTTGTAACTTTAGAAGAGTAGCCACGGCTACAGATTTCTGCATGATTGACTACATATTGCTGAGAGAGGCTTCTCCGCACTGTTTCTGCTGAGCGAAACTCAGAAGGTAGCGTGCTTCCCCGTACGGGTGTATTTATTTGTGTGTGTGTTTATTATGTGGCATGACATGTGGAGTAAAAGTATAATAAACAAGTGAAGGCATAGAAGTTCGCACTCAATGCACATTCATTCGTCACAAGATGTGAGTTCCACTCGAAAATGATATAAAGATCGAACTTTGCTGGCAATGGAGCAAAAATTAAAAGATGCCGCTGAAAACATTGAAATGAAATCCAGTTCCTTGGGTGGTGGGTAAGTATAGGAAGCACAGTCTGACAAGACATTGGGTAATGGCAGAGAAACTAGACGTTAAGTGAGACAACGGGCTCGGAAGGAGAGAGCATGAGGGAAGGGGGAGACGCTGACACCTCTCCTATAAAAGCGCTGTGTGTTGGCAAAAGCCAAGTGTGCTATGTACAATGTCAGTGCAAAATCTATTACCTACCGTTTCCAACATGAACGTCTTTCTACATCACAGAATTCTTCAAAAGACTGGCGAAGCTTCGCGTGCGGCACGCAGGCACCACTTATCATGATCGTCAGGATTTCAAAGGCGCTTTGCATTCGCTGGTGCATCACTGATTTTGCTCCACCCTGTTTAGAGGGTTACCGTGTTTAGAGGGCCCTGAGCCTATCGCAAGCTTTTAAAAACATGGCCCGATATTAGGCACGCTCACCTGCCCCATCTTCGATCGTGGTAGTCAGGCGGACAAACGTTGATGTTGTGCTTCTTTAACGGCTCAGAAGTGTTCGACAGAGACGGTAGAAGTTTGCTTGACCCGCTTTGACAGTGACAAGCCCGGCTTGCCACTGTCGGCTGTCGGAGTGGCTTTGCGAGAAGTTTGTGCCGCAGTTGTGGCAGCGTTAGCATCGCGGCTCATGTCATTAGCACTGAGGAAGCTGGAGCTAGCCGTTCATGAAACTCATTCACACACGCCCTGCTTCATGCCAAGGTGAATGCAGCTGGAAAAAAGGAGCTTTGTTTCGGGGGTTCTTTTGCTTACTTTTATTCTCCGGACCACTCTCACCCCCTACTTTCATAGAACGCTGTCACACATCAGTTTTACTCCGAGGGTTGCCTTCAAGCATGAGAACTTCACATCTGTGATCTTCACATTGTGCCTTAGATCGCCTGCGAATGTTTTTCTTTTTAGATTTATAGGTGCATGGAAACACCTACACACCTTCGCGTCATGTGTTAGAGCCCGCCCTTCCAAATCCCACACGTGCTCTTTACTGCCTCATCAGGCTCTTCGTTTCTAAGCTTCGCTTCATTGTTGTAAAGTCAAAATGAGCCGTTTTCGACAGCCAATGCGTCCAAACAAACTTCACTTTTTCAAATTCTGAATGAATTCGCCACAATTGACCTACTTTAGATGATGGCGGCTCATTTCGAATACTGTATTTTTTTCTCCTTTACCCGTATTTCTATGACTCGGCCGAAATTTCTGTTGCACGATCTCTAGAGTGCTCTAAAGGCTCGCTTTCTTTCTATATATCCAGTTAAAGTGTTATCGTACAGTAATACATCTAGACAGTAGACAATTGACAATACAGTAGACAATTTGGGTCTGAGATGGCTGGGGCGGGGATAAGTGCAACGCTTAATGGCGTTAAAGTAATCGTGACATTTCAGAGGCGTGAAACCCCG